TAACCATGGAAACTCGCTAGGATACAGGATTCTGTACTTAGGCAGGAACAGGACGGGTCATGTTTGTAGGAGGGTGTATGTGTGGAGCTCTCTCTCTCTCTCTCTTTCTATGTATATATATATATATATATATATATATATCTCTTGATGGATTTTCCTGAGTTTTTTTATGAATAGATGCACATCAAACCCTCTTTGACTTTAGTGGGCTGTGTAAACATGAACGGAGTCAAAAAAATGCTAATTCTGTGATTTTCTATGATTTTCACAAAAATAATTTTCATAAAAGTTTTCTTTTTTTGATTGTTTCATTTTATTTTAAGAAACATTACACTGTGCGTGTCTTATTCGCTGAAAGTCTGGTTTGTAAGATTGAGTCAGTGGACTGAGTTGTACTGAGCTGTTTCCTTGGTCACAGATAGCCAGCAGGAAAAAGCGTGAAAAAGACTCTTTACACACACACACACACACACACACACACACACACAGTGATGGCATATGGAGGAGTGGTACTGCATATTTCAGTCTGAAACATCTAACCTACATTCGATCTGCTAGTGTGTGAGTGAATGTGTGTATGTGTGTGTGTGTGTGTGTGCGAGGCAAAACCATTCTTGCGTGTCATAAAAGTGTGTGTGGAGGAGGAGGTCACAGCTATTCCCACACATTGGCTTTATGAATATGTGCGGAAAGAGGCGGCATTCCTGCATTACGTGTGTGTTAGTCACTTTTACTTCGTTTATACTTTTAGTGACGTCCATTGGTATTTCCACAGACAAGAAATATAGTCTTAAACATATTATATATATATATATATATATGTGTGTGTGTGTGTGTGTGTGTGTGTGTGTTTAAGACTATATTTTACATATAGAGACTCTCTCTCAGAGAGAGAGAGAGAGTCTCTATACATGTATATAAAAGATATAGTATATATATATATATATATATATATACAGTATATATATATAAACATATTATACTGTATCTGTGTGTTTACTGTTATTTTTATTGTTTTATGTATTTATTTATTTATTCATTTATGGATGACAGTAGAAATAATTGTTGGATTTTATTTATTTATTTAGTACATAACTGAAAATATGATGCAAAAGACATCACATTTATGTTACAGTAAGTAACAATCAGTGTTGTAGTACTCGAGACTCGGACTCGTCTCGGACTCGGTCTCGAAACCATATTTTAATGGTCTTGGTCTTGTCATGGACTCGTGTGCATTTGGACTCGGAATTGACTCGTACTCGAACATTTTTTTTTTAGGACTCGGAATTATTCCCGAGTCCACTCGAGTTCAATTAAAAATATTTTTTCATGATTATTAATGTATGTTAATAAAATATTTCATTAAATTGATTGACACGCCCAGTGATTGGTGATTTTCTAGTGCGCAACTGCGCATGACAAATTGTAATAAAGTTACTTTTAACACCACCTACTATGTGGCCTTTTTACCCTAAACTGATCATATTTTTTAAACTCTAAGTAAATTCAATAAAATAAAAAAAGGATTTCTCTAAGTAAATAAAAGTAAATTAGGTAATCAACCCTCACTGGTCTGGGTCTCGACTCGGACTCGACCATCTCTGGTCTCGGACTCGACTTGGACTCGACTCTCTATGGACTCGGTCTTGACTCGGACTCGACTCTCTCTGGTCTCGGTGTCGACTCGGACTCGAGTGAGGTGGTCTCGACTACAACACTGGTAACAATCTATAGTAAATTAACTAAAATAAACATTGACTATCAACAACATTTGTTATGTTTTCTCTGAAAGGAAAAATCCACTTTAATAGTATAGCTTTTGTTTATGGTGAAATAAAAAAAATGTATTTACCTACATTAAGTAACATGTTGTCTTACAGTATGTCTAAAGAAAATATATAAAGCATGGTGTATGGTCTTCATTAAAAAAAAGGAAAAGAAATAATTAATAGGCCTATATAAAGGTTTAAACCCAAAGCATACATGTAATTTGCGAAAAACAAATAAATTACAGTAATTTACGTTGTTGGTCTTTAGTGTAAGGTCATCATGTGACCTTTTTGTCTCTTTGTGTGCAACAGCAGCTTTTTAGCCAAGACTTCAATGTACAAAAGTGTGACAACTAGCCCCAGCCTCCCTATATATTTAAACACACACACACATATAAAGTCATCTACTTGCAGCACACATTTAAAGCGACATGAATATTTCTGAATCCTCTTGACTCTCTGCACTATTTAGGGGACAGATGTCTCTCTCGGTCAGGGTCAGGGTGATGGCTAGTGTTTAGGGAAGAGGTCAGGGTTCAGGGGTTAAGGGTCAGCTAATAGTAATCTACTATAAGAGTGTGTGTACAGACATCAGCAGGAGTTCCAGAGCAGCACAAATACACTGCACAGGGAAATAAATAAGTCAATAAATCAATAAATCAATACACTGTAGACAAATTGAAGTGGTGACAGGTTAAGACAAGTAAAAACGAAAAAAGGTGAAGACAAGTACGATGTGGCAAATATTCAGACGTGCGTCTCATTATTTCTCACAATTGTGACTTTATTTAGCAAAATTGTGACATATCTCTAGATTGTGCCTTTATTATATTATATTTCCCAATGTGCATTTTATTTCTTGTAATTGTAATATGTTTCTCAGAATATCCCTTTATGTTTTTTACAGTGATTTAGCATAATTGTAACTATATTTCACAATGTGACATTTTGGTTCCAAATTGTGACTTTATTTTTCATAATTATGATTTTATATCTTGTAACTGTGACTTTATTTATTGTAATTGTGACTATGTACCAAAATGTGGCTGTGTATCTCACATTTATTTCTTCTATCTTATTTAAATATGTTTTATTCAACCTATATGCATCTATCCATCCTAACAGAGAATATTTCTATATATCTGCATCTTCACGTCTCTCTTTGTCCAGTATGTGTGTGTCCCATGCACAGCAAGCTATTATGTTTAATCTCTCTCTTCTGAAATATCATAATGGATGGGAATCATTAGACATCAATACTTAAATCTCCAACCTAATGTTTTATTCACTAAAATCAACATATATGTCCCATCTTCATCATTTACAGCCCATTTTTGGTTGGTAAATGACTAGCAGAATGGCACGAAACGATAAAGCCCCCGTCCTGGGGATTAGAGAGATCCCGGCTAAACTCGGGGCTAAAGGTGTGCTCTCGTTTAATTCATCAATCTGACAGCTTCATGCAATATGCGTCATATTATCTGTTCTTCCGGCTCTATTAAAGTGCATGAAGAAGAAAAAAAGGCCCAGCGGGAGGGAGGAATTTAGACTGACTCATACACACTCACACTGTTCCTCTCCGCCTACAATAAAACTGTACACACACACACACACACTGTGATTCTCACATAAGCTTTCCTCAATTTCCACATCACAGCAGCGCACACACACACACACACTGTACAACAGCATAAGTCACTTACACTGACCTACTCACACATACAAAGACAAGCATGAGTAAAATCCCAGAGTGGACAGTGATTTAGTCTAATTTAAGGTTGTGTTAGTGTTTAGGAAGATGCTTAAGAAGTCAAAACCCAAATGTGAAGCGTCTCCTGCACCACATGTGTTTGTTAGCGTAAAATCACAGCTATATGTTTTGAACTACTTCGTCTTTTTGTGAAGAGAAAACCCTAGAGTATTGTGGTGGTACAATGATATAGTGATAGTATCAGGTGGAAATGCATACTTTGGTATGAATGGTCACCATATTGCATGCTAATATAAATAACACTACACTTTTAGAAATAAAGGTGTATGCCTAAATGCGACCTCATGTTTGGAGTCATGAAAAGGTTCAATATACAATCTTTCCACTCATATCTTGAAAATAAAAGTTATTTATTGATATTGATGGTTCCATGATGAACCTTTAACATCCATGGAGATTTTCCATTGCACAAATGTTTTTTTTTTTTCCGTTTGTTTGTTTGTTTTTTAAATGGTAAGGGTTATTTCACCCAAAAATATCCATAATTCATCCATAATTTACTCACACTCAAACAAGCATCTCTTCTTTCAGCCAAACACAATCAGAGTTATTTAAAAAAAAAACCTCCTGGCTCTTCCAAGCTTTAATATAGGCTGGGAGTGAATACAGCCTTATATTTTGAAGCCCAAAAAAGTGCATCCATCCATCATAAAAGTAATTCATACAACTCCAGGGGGTTAATAAAGTCCTTCTGAAGTGAAGCAATGTGTTTAATGTTCATAATTATAATTTTATAAACTATAATCACTGGCTTCCGGTAATGGCCGTATGTGAGTCTAGTTCCGGTGGTTATTATAGTTAATAAAATTATAAATATACAGGTTATATATATATATATATATATATATATATATATATTTTTTTTTTTTTTTTTTTCTTACAAAAATTGCCTCACTTATATATATATATATATATATAAATAACCTGTATATTTATAATTTTATTAACTATAATCACCGCCGGAACTAGACTCACATACGGCCGTTACCGGAAGCCAGTGATTATAGTTTATAAAATTATAATTTTATTAAAAAAAAATTTTTTTTTTACATTTTAATTTTATAATTTTATAATTGATAATTTTATTAACATTTTTCTCACAAAAAAACAAAACAAAAAAAACATCACTTCACTTCAGAAGGCCTTTATTAACCCCCTGGAGGCGTATGGGTTACTTTTATAATGGATGGATGCACTTTTTTGGGCTTCAAAATCTCAGGTACCATCCACTCCCATTATAAGGGCCACTAAATATGAATCCTTAGTTCAACATAATAACATTTCTTTTGGAACTTTTTTTGGTACTGTACCAAGTGTTTTTTATTATTATTATTATTATTATTATTATTATTTTAATGATAGTATTAATGGAAATGCCTTGGAGTAACATGAATTTCAGTAGCTAGCATGGTTTCCCCAACTGTACTACAGTCACAATTGCACAGTGTGTCCTTTACCTTGTGCTGTTTCCACATGGCTGCCAGCGGCTTCACATCATGCTTCCCGTGTTTGCCCTCCTCCAGACACTGGTAACACACGGGGCTCCGGCAGCTGGCGCAGTACATGCTGTAGTTCTCCGACTCGTGATCCACGCACGTCGCCTGTTTGCGCGCGGAGCCTGCGGCCGGTTGCGCGATGCCCGCCTGCGCGTGAGTCGGCGGCAGCAGCCGGTGTTTGGCCAGCGGTCCGCGGGATGGGTGGCAGCGCTGCTGGCACGGCGCGCAGTAAAACACATCGCACTGCTCGCACATCACCGTGGCGTCCACCGGGTTGCGGTCGCACAGCTGGCACTTGACGGAGGCGGCGCGGCTCTGCTGGTAGCGGGACACGATCGCCTCCAGGAGCCGGTTGCGCTGGAGTCCCCGGAGCCCGCGCTCGTCCAGCGACACGCTGCGGTGGCACAGAGGGCAGGTGATGGAGCAGTGCCGGTGCAGCAGTGCCGGCGGGAACACTCGCACCCCGTTGGGGGACTTCAGGCACGGCGTGTATGAGCCGTAGCCGCTGTCCGTCTCGCTGTACATGCTCATCTTGTCCATGTCCAGATAATCATAGTCCGAGGTGCCGGAGCTTCGGCTCTGCGGAGGGGTCTCTCCCTCCGGGGTCTGCACGATGATATTACGGGCACACGCCAGGCAGACATTGTGCGAGCACGGTAAAATAATAGGCTCCCTAAAGAGAGAACCGCAAACCGGGCATTTCAGTTCTTCTTCCATCGCGTCCATAAACACGTTCACACGCGCAGACGTTGAATGAAATCAGAGCAGCACTACCAGACGCGGACAGCTCCGTTACGTGCTCCGCGCATGCGCGCTGAGAGAACAGTTCTGGGTGTTGTAGTCACTCTGCCCGGACCCGCTGTTTCAGTTGAGCTCTTAAAAACTACAACTCCCTTAATGCCGCTAATTAAATGCGGCGAGAAGAATTTGTATTATCGTCCCGTAGTCCAGGGTCATGGGTTTGAGGGGAAAAAAGCCTAATTTGCAATTTAAAGAAGCCCGTGTGTAAACAACCCCGTCAAAGGAGGACAGGCGTTGTAATTGTGAAGGCATCTGAGAGAGGGCTGACCAGTCGCCTGTTTCTGTGAGTGGCCGTAAATAATCAGGGCAAGGAATGTATCACAGCGAGCATCGACATCCTTCTGCCCACACAATCTAATTACAGCACACAATAAATGAGCACTTCACCATAATCCCACACAGACCCGTTATTTGAGGATTGAATGGTAATGGGGAAATTACTGCATTGATATACAAATAAATATTGTGTATTTCTATAAAGCAGTTTTAATTATTAGGCATATTTTTTTTTTCTTGAAAGGCAAAACGGTAAGTTAAAGTGAACGATTTTTCTTATGTAGCCTACACATCAGGCTACAAATTATGGTATTTTTTGTTTTGGGGCCCGTTTTACTGTACTGTTTTATATTTAATTATATTGTTTACATTTTTTTTTTATTAAAATAGTTTACTTAATTGAATGATTGAACAGGCTATCTATATTTTTTTTCAGTATACACACAAACACACATATATTTGTCCTGTCAAACCGATTAACGCCTATTAAAGTTTCTCTTTAATGTACATAGGCCTATATATATTATATATATATATATATATATATATATATATATATATCTGTGTGTATACTGTATACATGCGCTAACACACACACACACACACACAGTATATATATATATATATATATATACAGAGAAAGAGAGAGAGAGAGAGAGAGAGAGAGAGAGAGAGAGAGAGAGAGAGAGAGAGAGAGAGAGAGAGAGGATAGAAAATGCATAAATCACAAAATAATTTTCAATAGACTAATGTCCAGTGAAATGTAATCTAAAAGAACAGTGCAGAGTATTTGGTTTGACAATGAGGGCAGCGACGGCAGACGTTATTGTTCTTTCACACTGTCGCGTTGTTCAGAGGCGCGAGACTGATCCATGAGATTATGCTGGGGGTTTGCCAAAGAAAAAATCAGCTCTTGTCATAACCCGTAGGCTGATGCATACTGGATCGAATAACCAGGTTAGATTTTACTGATGCATTAAAGTTCTTGTTTTAAATCCATCGAAGTCTCATATCATCAAACCTTCTCCTCACATTATCATCCTGTCTGCGTCAAGAGGGTTTAAAAAAAACAACACAAACATAATACAAAAAGGTCTTGGGAATATTTGATCAAGCATATGCAGTCTGACAGAGAACAGAAACAGCAGTGTGAAAGAGAAACAGATGAAAGGGGAATATTTTTAATAACTCTGGGTTGTTGTCAAGACTAGGCTTTGGGATTTTGAACTGAGCCTTCCTTTTATTAAACAATTCCCGGTACAGCAGGGGGCACTACATGTAAAAGCTCAGACATGGAGCACAGGATCAAATCAACGCTACGTATTCATGTACTTTGCTCTTTTACAAGTCTCTCTACAAATCTTTACAAGTTTATAAACTGTCAAAAGAGGGCAGTAAAAATAAGTGTTTTCATGTCTACCTCAATTTTTTTTTTTTTTTTTGCTTGACTGAAATGACAAATGAAGAGGTAGGTTATATTCTTTATATTTCAACATGTAGGGCGATATTAATTTCCATTTACTTTAATAATATACAGTTTGTTATAAATGATTAAACAACATAAAGCACAATTAATACAATTATGAAATGCAAGTGTTATAAAATTGCTATTTGTGATTATTTACTCACCCTCTATATATTTCAAACCCATATGCTGTTGTTTTAAAGGAGTAGTTCACTTAAAAAAAAAAAAAAAAAAAACTTTTGCTGATAATTTACTCACCCCCATGTCATCCAAGATGTCCATGTCTTTTTTTCTTCAGTCGAAAAGAAATTAAGGTTTTTGATGAAAACGTTCCAGGATTTTCTCCATATAATTAGACTTCATTGGGAACCAAACGTTCAAGGTCCAAATGAGAGTTTCAGTGGGCTTTAAACGACACCAAACGATGAATAAGGGTCTTATCTAGCGAAACGATCGCTCATTTAAAAAAAAAAAATAAATAAAAAAGTTTAAGTTTTATAAGCTTGCTCTGTTCTGTGATGAGCGTTCGTGACTCTCCTGTTCGAACTCATTCATTAAAATGAACAAATGTTTTTTTGAGTCATGACTCGAAGGGTCCTAGATAAGACCCTTATTCATCATCTGGTGTCGTTTAAAGCCCTTTGAAGCTGCACTGAAACTCTCATTTGGACCTTGAACCATTTGGTTCCCAATGAAGTCCATTATATGAAGAAAAATCCTGGAATGTTTTCATCAAAAACCTCAATTTCTTTTCGACTGAAGAAAGAAAGACATGGACATCTTGGATCTTGGACATGAGGGTGAGTAAATTATCAGCAAAAGTTTTTTTTAGAAGTGAACTACTCCTTTAAGACTATGTTGACTAATTTTTTAAGCCATTTGACAATTGTAAGAATTTTTTAAATTCTTATTTTGTTGAACCAACATCACATTGTAACATTGATTCAATGCCATTACCTCTGATTTTTGGATGACATTCAAAAAAAAAAAAATTAATTTTCTCTTTTTTTACAACAAACGTTTGACTCAAAAGCAAGTAAATAATGACAGAATTCGTATTTTCAGTGAGAGTTAGGAGTGCATCACGACACCAGCAACGAGTCATATGAGAGTTCTTCATGAAATGCATTGAGACCTCTATGGTAGTGCATCTTCAGTCTCATTGATTCCCCTTTAAACAACGGACATGGTGCTGTCGGGATTGACTCTGACAGTCCGAGAGCTCTTCCTCAGATCCTGGAGCTGTTTGGCTGGTTTCCCCACTCCCTCCTCAAACCTCCTCTCCACAACGGGAAGCACCGTCTCGTGCAGGAAGGAAGCGTTCTGCAGGATGAAGGCCTTCTTCTCGCTCTCCTGCTCGCAGCGCAGGCTGTAGTCCACGTGCTGGACCGCCACCAGTATGATCTCCCGCAGGCTCTCCAGAAACACCATGTGCAGCTCTGGGAAGTACAGCTTCAGCCCTTCCTCCAGGAACGCCATCATCTGCTTGGTGAAGGCCACGATGGTGTAGCTCAGGTTGACCCAGCAGTCTTCTCCCGTATACTGGTCGAAGCCGCCGATCCCGCAGCTCCGCATCTCCTCCTTGAGTTTGGCCAGGGCTTCAGGAGTCATCAGGTTCATCCTGCGCCACATCTCCTCAGAGTTGCGATGCTTGGTCGCTTCTATGATGATGTCTTTCTGGCTTTGCAGCGCCGCCCTGATGTCTTTCACGAGCAAAGACTGTAAAATGAAGGTCAGGTCCAAGCCGATGTCGCTCAGCTGCTTGCAGTGCTCGCTCGCGAACTTCACGCATTCGGCGGCGGTGGACAAGCTCTCTTTGCTGTCGAACACCTGCTTGCTGAAGGCGTCCACGAACATCTTCATCACCGAACGAGACCAGACCACGAAGGCGGAGTAGCAGCCGGTGTTGCCCGCGAAATCCGTCTCGAACTCCCTGGCGGTTTCCAGCAGGCTCGTGAAGAAGATGTTGCAGAGCTTTTGGATGTATAGCAGCGTGGCTCCTTCGATGCGAAGCTGGCGAATGGCGGTTTGGACGGCCGCGGCTCGGTTCTTCAGAAAGAGCTCGCAGGCTTTCGTGGACTGGCCCAGGCGGACGAGCTGGGATACGGCTCGCCGTGTGGCTTTAGGTCCTCCGCGGAGAGAGCGATCGGGCGAGAGCTCGAACACCAGGACCTCCGTCAGCTGCCGAACGCGCTCCTCCACCTTGACCCTGAGCTCCTTCACCCGCGGGCTCACCGGTTGCTCCTTCAGATATTCGTTTAGCTTGTCTAGAAGATCAACAGCGCCCTCGAAGTCTCTCTGAGCGATGCAAACGTCAAGGTCTTCCGGAAGCTCCTGGATCCATTCGGGACTCAGATCCACCAGTTCCTCTGAATCTAGTGGTTCGTCATCTTCAAATGGGTTCGTGGAGATGTCCTGCCTGACCGGCGACGTCGGCACCTCCTCTTCCTTTGTGTGCTTGTCTTTCGCCACTTTGTTTTTCTTTGTTTCCTCCAGGATCTCCAGCCACTCTTTCTTGATCTTGCTGTTCTCAGCTTTGAAGATGCGGCTATCAGGGAACATGAGGATTTTGAACATGTCTTTAATCGGAGGGTTGTCTTTTACGTTTACAACCGCAAAGCTTTCCAGGTCGTACAACGCACTGTACTTGTATTTCACAGCGCCGCGTCTGTTCGCCAGCCAGGTTGCGATTAGCAGGCAGTCGTTCATCAGAAACGCATGGACCTTTTGGATCTGTGACATGTTGTCTGCGTCATACTCCAAAAGATCTCCATTGTAGACCAAATATCTGCCGGGGGTTTCCATGATGTTCTTGCATCCCTCCACTTTTTCCAAAAGCGTGGTTAGGGTTCTTTGTTTGACCTCTTCTGTTTCCTTTGGGAAGGCTGTGAGCATTTCTTTGGCTGTTTCGTCTTTATCTGTGGATAGGAGAGACTGTGTAATGCTCTCCATTATGCTCTTCTGCTCGGTGAGAATGTGACTGAGCTGATACATCTCACTTTCCAGGTATGAAATCTCCTTGGCTGTCTCAATGAACTGCCTGTAGTTTTTATAAACATTTTTCTTCAGGTTTTGTGCAGTTTCGTCGGCGAGTGTTTGTATTTTCTGACGGTGTTCCTGTAAATCTCGGTCCCCGTCGGACTGCTGCGAGAGCTGCTTCACGTACGACTGAGGGTCAAAATTAGGGGATTCCAGCAACTTACGCAAACGGTTTCCGGTGTCTGCCATTTTTTCTTGGTGTTACGGCGAAAGCCGATGTATAAAAGAAACACAAATGTGAATATAATTATGTGTAAATCAGCTAGTCATTGCAGTACAGCTGCAGAGAGAGCGCTTCCTCGTTACAGGAGACTCGCGACACCTCCCCGTGACGTCACTCACATCACGTGAAGAGCGAACGTTTCAAAATACACAACAACAAAGATTCACGCACTTATTTGTTTGAATAATTTAAAAATGCTAATAAAATGTGCCTCTAGCAACCCGTAGTTGTTTTCATTTGGGTGTATTTTACATGCATTATGTTGTTGTTGTCCATGGTAATATGCCTATGAGATTTAACAAATACTTTGATTAAAAACAGACATATTAACATATGTTTTATTTCATACACGTTATTACAAACATATCTCACAAATATAGAGTATATATATAGATGTTTAAATATGCCATTGTGCTAATTTGAGTAAAACAGCAAGACCAAAAATCTGCACCACCTCTTTTGTAGGATGTGTTTATAACAGAGTAAAATGAATAAATTACCCCGTGTTGATAAGGAAAATATTTACAGACCAAACTTTAATATCGGGTAGAATAATTATTTATCAAAATACTAATTATACTATTTGTTTTGTTTGAGTACTGGCTACATTAACTCCGTGCAACTGTTTTGATTGGTCAACGGTTTACGTAAGAAATACGTAATAACTGTAGAATACAACGTTATTTTTTTAACTCTATTTTATCTTTTTGGGCATTGCACGTTGTAATATCCACATATTCTCTGTTCATGTACATTACCAATTTTAAAAATAGAAATACATTTCCCAGCTTTCCAAAACACACTGTGTGACTTTCTGGTTGGCCAACAATTATTTTTTCAAAGGTCTCTAGTGGAAATGCTCTGTCAGTATTCCTTCAAATAAATCGAGACGTTAATCAAGATCGTGACATTTATGAAAACCTTCGATTAGCCCGAACTTTATACTAAACCCTTTAATGTATGAGGTGGGAGTTTCGTTGGTCGTGATTAATGTTATAATGTTAATGTGGAGTTTCTGTGCTGGTTGACGTTGTCATCCAGTTGTTCTAACGTTATTTGCACTAAAGAAGGCTGAAGATGGAGGATGACGACTTTTTACTCGCTCTTCGTTTACAAGAGCAGTTTGATCTGGAGACATCGGCTGCTGGATGGAGTGATGAAGACTGTCCGTCCAGTAAAAAGCGTAAGATTGACTTCTCTGCTGTGATTCCCTTCTCTCAGCCCGGACCCAGACCTGAGAGACCGCTGTCCATCGTGGACGAGTCGTGGGAGACGCTGGACCCCAACCCGGACGTGAGAGCCATGTTCCTGCAGTTTAACGACAGGTTCTTCTGGGGGAAACTCAGCGGGGTGGAGGTCAAGTGGAGCCCGAGGATGACACTGTAAGAGTAACACTGTAGAGAGACACTGTAATGCTCACTGAGACACTTCAAAAAGAGACACTTTAATGCTCAGCTAAACAAATAATATATATATATATATATATGGATGCATAGATAGGTAGATTGACAAACATATAGATTGACAGATAGATAGTAGATAGATTGACATATAGGTAGAAAGATTGACATATATAGATTGACAGATAGATAAACAGATATATAGATGATGGATAGATAGAAAGACAGATAGATTGATAGACAGATATATATATATATATATATATATATATATAGATTGATTGACATAGGTAGACAGACAGATATACATATAGGTAGAAAGATAGATAGTTAGATTGACAGATAGGTAGATATATGGACATATATATATATAGATTGATAGATAGATAGACATAGTATATAGATAGATGATTGATAGATAGACAGCCAGATAGATTGACAGACAGACAGACATATATATATATATATATATATATATATATATATATATATATTGACAGACGGATAGCAGACAGACAGATAGAGAGACATATAAGTAGAAAGGCAGATAGATAACAGACAGATATATAGATAGATAGATAGATAGATAGATAGATAGATAGATAGATAGATAGATAGATAGATAGATAGATAGATAGATAGGTAGATAGATAGGTAGATAGGTAGGTAGATACATGGACAGATAGATACGTGGACAGATAGATGGACAGGTAGTATTTAGATAGATGTCGGATAGATAGACAGCCATATAGATAGATAGACAGACGGATATATATATATATATATATATATATATATATATATATTCAATTCAAATTGCTTTATTGGCATGACTGTACATATTACAATATTGCCAAAGCTTGTAACACATAGTATAATAGTGAAGACATCAATAATAACAAAGTATTATAACAACTTAAATTGAAATGTACAAATTAAATTAATTGCAAAAAATAACAGTGTAACAGATTATAATATATATATAGACAGATAGATAGATAGCCATATAGGTAGAAAGACAGACAGATAACAGACAGATATATAGATAGATAGACAGACAGACAGACAGACAGACAGACAGACAGATAGATAGATAGATAGATAGATAGATAGATAGATAGATAGATAGATAGATAGATAGATAGATAGATAGATAGATAGATAGATAGATAGATAGATGACTTTGACTAGTGTAATCACTGTCTGATATCTGATTCCCTCAGGTGTGCTGGTGTTTGCTCTTATGAGGGAAGAGGAGGCTTGTGCTCTATTCGACTCAGTGAACCTCTCCTGAAGCTCAGACCCCGCAAAGATCTCGTACAGGTTGGATAAATGTGACTTTCTTCACTTTTAAAGTCAAAATGAAAATTTCTTAACCTAATGTAGTTTAGATTTTTCAGCAAAACAAAAACCCTTTAGCAAAAATGTATTGTAAAAATGTCTACCTTCAAATCTTTGTGCTGTGAAATTATATATTTAATGATATTTATTAAATAATGTGAGATAAACTTCAATATTGTAATCATAATATTTCAAGATGAATATTTACTGGATTCCACAACTTGGATTACTTGTATATATATATATATATATATATATATATATATATATATTAGAAACATTTTCAACTAAGCATTTAAATATAATCTTTTATGGTATTGGAAGATAAAGAGTGGCAATTGATATTTAAATGCATTTTATGAAAGTGTTCTGCCATTCAGTTATAAAATCTCATCTATTTACCTTACAAGCTTTCATAATTTCATTTTACTTTTTGACCATATAAATGACAAATTGCACATTTTTGCTTAGTTTGAGCCACTGAATAAAATTGAGGCATTATTTTCCTAGAGACGAGTGTGAACTCAGTATTCTCACGAGATATATCATATTTATTAAGCCATATTCTATCAAAAATGATACTCAACATAAAACATGCATACCTTTTTTATATTTTGTGTTAAGGTTCAATAAACTCTTCCATTTAAAAACAAAAAATAGATTTATATCATTTCATATGTCAGGCATTACAGGGTTAGCACAGGCTTTTGGTCTTACTGTGCACAAGGCACCAATGCACCCCATTCTAAAATGCACCCCATTCTAAATCATTAATCTAATAACATGTCCCACCTTATACATTTATGTGAGAAAAAATTTAAACTCAAGTGCCCTAAATGTATTTCATGATCAGTTGCAGCTTGATTTTAATGTTAATGTTTCTTTCCACAGACTCTTCTCCATGAGATGATCCACGCTCTTCTCTTTGTGACTCAAAACAACACAGATCGAGATGGTCACGGACCAGAGTTCTGCAAACACATGGACAGAATCAACCAAGCAAGCGGCACCAAAATCACTGTAAGACTGTGAACAGATCAGATTATTAAACAATATCCAGTTGTTAAGTCTGACGTCACGTGTCAGATCCCAAAAGCAAACAACAAACGGTGCCGATATACACTCACGGTGATCTAAGCTTTATCTCTATACCGAAATCTCAGTTGACCAAACAGTGATTCATATTTTATGAATTGGTAAAATATTGGAGATGTCATGAGCCTGAAGACTGTAATATAAACTTTGCTTATACACTCACCTAAAGGATTATTAGGAACACCATACTAATACTGTGTTTGACCCCCTTTCGCCTTCAGAACTGCCTTAATTCTACGTGGCATTGATTCAACAAGGTGCTGAAAGCATTCTTTAGAAATGTTGGCCCATATTGATAGGATAGCATCTTGCAGTTGATGGAGATTTGTGGGATGCATTTGTGGGATGCACATCCAGGGCATGAAGCTCCCGTTCCACCACATCCCAAAGATGCTCTATTGGGTTGAGATCTGGTGACTGTGGGGCCATTTTAGTACAGTGAACTCATTGTCATGTTCAAGAAACCAATTTGAAATGATTCGAGCTTTGTGACATGGTGCATTATCCTGCTGGAAGTAGCCATCAGAGGATGGGTACATGGAGGCCATAAATGGATGGACATGGTCAGAAACAATGCTCAGGTAGGCCGTGGCATTTAAACAATGCCCGATTGGCACTAAGAGGCCTAAAGTGAGCCAAGAAAACATCCCCCACACCATTACACCACCACCACCAGCCTGCACAGTGGTAACAAGGCATGATGGATCCATGTTCTCATTCTGTTTACGCCAAATTCTGACTCTACCATCTGAATGTCTCAACAGAGATCGAGACTCATCAGACCAGGCAACATTTTTTCCAGTCTTCAAGTGTCCAATTTTGGTGAGCTCTTGCAAATTGTAGCCTCTTTTTCCTATTTGTAGTGTGGATGAGTGGTACCCGGTGGGGTCTTCTGCTGTTGTAGCCCATCCGCCTTTAGTTTGTGGGTGTTGTGGCTTCACAAATGCTTTGCTGCATACCTCGGTTGTAACGAGTAGTTATTTCAGTCAAAGTTGCCATTCTCCTCTGACCTCTAGCATCAACAAGGCATTTTCGCCCACAGGACTGCCGCATACTGGATGTTTTTTTTCCTTTTCACACCATTCTTCACACCATTCCACTGCCACCAACAACCATGCCACACTCAAAATTGCTTAAATCACCTTTCTTTCCCATTCTGACATTCAGTTTGGAGTTCAGGAGATTGTCTTAACCAGGACCACACCCCTGCATTGAAGCAACTGCCATGTGATTGGTTGATTAGATGATTGCATTAATAGAAAATTGAACCGGTGATCCTAATAATCATTGGGTGGGTGTAGATCTGCTATAAATGAATAGTGCTCATAAATGATTGCTGAGAAAGTGTTCTCACTTGAAATGGAGAAGAGGTTTGGACCCAGAAACATTATACATGACGACTTAACTAGCAGAACATTATGACACCAATCTCTGTGTATTGCTTCTCTTTTCACAGATATATCACTCGTTTCACGATGAGGTTGACGTGTACCGGCAGCACTGGTGGCGCTGTAACGGACCCTGTCAGAATCGCAGACCGTTCTTTGGCTACGTAAAGCGTGCGATGAACAGACCTCCCTCGGCCAGAGATCCCTGGTGGACTGAGCACCAAAGGACCTGCGGTGGAACATACACCAAAATCAAAGAGCCAGAGAATTATGGGAAAACAGGCAAAGGCGACAAAAAGAAAGACACAAATCCTTCCAATGAGATTTCTAAGGGTTCAAAGCCTCCCAGCAGCATTACAGGTGTTTCTAAGAGTTCAAAGCCTCCCAGCAGCACATCAGGTGATCCATTCGCTATTACCACATTATTAAACAATGTATAAATTGACTTTTATTCATACAAAATTGCATAGTTTTTAAAATAAGCAAATTAGACCAGCTAATGCTAAATAGAAAACATAAAAAGAAAAAATAGGTCTGAAATTTCTATACCACTTCTGCTAGAATAATGATGTTCAAATGTAGTATGGTACTCTATGGCAACACTATTGGAAAATTAATCTGAGGTTGCTAATTTGCCAATTTTCATTGTCCATCGCACTTGTTCCTGCTGCTTGTGCTTACACTGGCAACCCGCTTGAGCGTTGTCCAGTCTGAGGAGAAGGTGGCGGGAGAACCGTCAATTTTGACCACTAGTTGTCGTTCTTACAGACTGCACAATTAAGTATACCTGAGCCTTAATTTAATAAACAAAGGTATTTTAACTCACTTATCTATCAAAAATATTGATCAATGGCTTAAAGGAGTAGTTCACTTTTAAAAAATATAAACTTTTGCTGATAATTTACTCACCCCCATGTCATCCAAGATATCCATGTCTTTCTTTCTTCAGTCAAAAAGAAATTAGGGTTTTTGATGAAAACATTCCAGGATTTTCTCCATATAATGGACTTCATTGGGCACCAAACGGTTCAAGGTCCAAATAAGAGTTTCAGTGCAGCTTTAAACAACACCAGACGATGAATAAGGGTCTTATCAAGCGAAACGATCGCTCATTTAAAAAATAAATAAAAAACCTTAAGTTTTATAAGCACAAATGCTCGCCTTGCTCTGTTCTGTGATGAGCATTCGTGACTCTCCTGTTCGATCTCGTTCATCAAAATGAACTAATCTTTTTTCGAGTCATTTCGTTTGTTGAACGAAAAAAAGATTCGTTCACTACCCCAATGTAACTTCCTGGTTCTGATAAAATGGCCGACGCCAACACTGACGATTCACAATTTGTTTATTTGTTCACAAATCCATAAATCCGCCACTAATGACGTAGGTTGAGCCAGTGATGGCTCAGAAAAGAAAAAGATCATTGTTTTGATAGTGCCACATAGTATGATCTTCTGGACAATTAAATTTATATGTATTGTTTCAGGCTCTGGCTTACAAGACATCAGAAATGTCATTCCATTCAGTGGGAGAGGGTTTATTCTTGGAGGGAACACGCAGACTTCCACAAACAAGCCGAGCCAGAGTCCTCCTAAAGCGCCACCGGAACCTCTGGTCTCTCCCCCTGACTCTCCGGTCCTTCCAAGACTATGGCCCATTGAGACAAACTTGCCCAAAAGAGTCAGCAAAGGTGCATCGAATGTTCCCCGCAGAAAGTCTGTCAGCAACACTAATGCCTTTATCAACGTCAATGGCTCACCTGTGAGGATTTCCAAAGGCAAAGACTTAAGAGGCAAGCAGAGGTCAGTGCAAGATCTCTTCCAGGCCATAGTCCTCAAATCTCCGGAGAGGGCAGCCAGTGCTGCCGGTTCCTCCAAACCTGCCACAGATGCCACGACAGCAAACCCTGACAAATGTAATGGAGCATCTTCGTCTAGTGCCTTAGACACAAAACCTTTTGGGAAAACAAGCCTGATCAATAACCATCATTCATCCACCACCACAGGGCCAAAGCCTGACTCTATAGAGTCGTATCTCTCCAAATATTTTGGAAGCGTTGCTAAAACGGAATTCCCAGAATCAAAGTCGAAAGCTTCCGGAAGCCCTCAAAAGTCTGCAACTAGCACACCAGGTCACGATTCTACGCTCTTCGGAAGTAACCAAAAATCTGCAACTAGCACACCAGGTCACGTCTCTACGCTCTTCGGAAGCCCTCAAAAGTCTGCAACTAGCACACCAGGTCACGTTTCTACGCTCTTCGGAAGCCCTCAAAAGTCTGCAACTAGCACACCAGGTCACGTCTCTACGCTCTTCGGAAGTAACCAAAAATCTGCAACTAGCACACCAGGTCACGTCTCTACGCTCTTCGGAAGTAACCAAAAGTCTGCAACTAGCACACCAGGTCACGTTTCTACGCTCTTCGGAAGTAACCAGAAACTAGGGTCAGATGCTGCAAGCTCAGGATTCCGAAACACTGGATCTCCCCAAAGTTCACACACTTCAACTACTTCAGGGTCCGGTTCCAAGCACTCCGGAAAGCCTGAATCCAACTTTCCGAGCCCTGGAATCATTGGCAGCCCCCGGACATCAGGGACTACGCCTTCGGGAGCCAAGAAAAGATCATGGGAAGAGCATAACTCCGAACAAATCTTTGATTACTTCCAGCGTACAGTCGGTGAGTCCGCCAATTCCGCAGTGCAGCAGAGAGAGGAGGTCGGAGACGCCGTTCCAAACGATCCTCCGGTCCACGTCACCGTCCACTGCCCTGTGTGCCACATCAAAGTACCCGAGTACGCAATCAATGAACATTTAGATTCCTGTCTGTTGTAATCTCTGAAAACGTCAAGTACAGGCCATAGGGCTTTACTAAAGCTAGGAGAGGTGTTTTCTATGGGAATCCTGTGCTCAAAACTCAGGTGTAGCTGTAAATAAAAAGATTACATATTTAATATTATAGTGGTGAGACATATCCCTTCCAACGCAATAACTTTGTAGGTCACGGCTCTAAAAGTACACGTAGAAGTCGTTGGCAGCACAATAGCCCACATTTCCTTTTGTACTTCTCCATTTACTGACTTATTCTACCTCAGTTTTGTAAAAAGATTCTTTGCATCATGGGAGGAATGTTGGGTGTGGTCAGCAGCACCGATTGACAGCTTAGTGACACCGAGTGAGTTTGTTTGAAGAGACGTCACTGTCCTTGTGTGCGGATCCTGTCGATTCAGCAGTACTGGATTTCGCTCGTGTTGGCTGTCCGCTGTGGGATTTAGATGTGCTTAGCTTTTCTGCCGGATCAGGCTTTGCAAGGTCGGTGTCATCAATAACAGCTCTGTTAGGTTGACCTGTGAGTGGGGGCGGAGCTTGTGCTGCATTCTGCATAGTAATTTCGCATATGCTTTGTGCCTTAGAGGAATGCACACGTTGAAAAAGTGAACCCCACCCAGATGTGAATATTAAGGAATGCAGGATAACATGTGATAAGACCCGCCTCGGTAAACAATGGCTGATGACGAGGTCACGCTGCTCATGTTACACCTAGTTTTGGCGTGGTTCACTTATAGGCCCAGGCACATCATATTGATTTACCTGCATGACGCAGTGATTTGTTTAGTGTTTGTCATGCTCCAGGCAGTGACGTAACTTATATTGAGTGCATGTGGTTTTAACATGCACTACAGGTTCTGAGAAAGGCAACACTGTCATGGTGATGCATCATTCTCTGTTGGGACTGAAAATTTTGCACAATTTACTGTTGGCCAATTTAGGACCAGATGTTTTGTTTTAAAAAATGGTTTTATATTGATTCATACTGTTTAAATAAAAAAATGTGAAGTTTATTAAATGGATAGTTCCACCCAAAAATGAAAATTCTGTCATCATTTACTCACTCTTCGTTCTTACTATTTTTGAAGAATGTTGGTAATCAAACAGTTGACGTTAGGTTACTTGTATAGTTGGAGAAATATCCGTCGTAGAAACGGATGTCAATGGCTAACATCAACTGTCTGGTGGTTACCAAACATTCTTCAAAATGTATTTAGTGTTCTACAGAAGAAAGACCCTCAGTCGGGGAACAACATGAGGGTGAGTAAATGATGGCAAAATTTTCATTTTTGGGTGGAACTATCCCTTTAGGTGGTTTCAAATGTTTGTGAGTTTTAAATGTTAATGTTTCATAATTAAAATGTTATGTGGATTTTTCTATTGTGTTTTATACCTTAAAATCGTGCCTGATTTAGGCTATGTTTGACTGTTGCCTTTGTCAACTTTTTTTGTTGAAATAAATGTTCGATTAATTATTGTGGTATCCTTTTGTCTTCTTGAAACACTCTTTTTTTCACTTTTTAAAAAACAAGTTGGGTAGCTGTAGCTCGGAGTAATGGCCGTGCTGAAAGGTGAATTGCTACAACAGAAACTAACCCCTAACCCATACCCTAAAGCCCAAAGTATACTTAGGTCATCCTCGACTCTCCGCGTACTACCCTACTGCGTAATTTTCGTCATAGTTGGCATAGCCTAGAAATCTAGACGCACCCTAGCGGCAGCAAAACAAATTTCGCAGCCAGTGTGGTCTAGCAACTCTCCATAGACGTTTTAGCGGGAAAAACCAAACTCTGGTCAGGCCAATCACATCGTGTATAGAGTCGGCGGGCGGGCTAATGACGACAGAGTTGCTACGGTTCACTGCTACTTGGCGAACAGCTGTCTTTCGATTCAGCTTTGACCGCTACTCTGGATGATTTGAACTTAAGCTTTTATTTGAAACCAGAACAAAGAACGTCACTTGAGTCATTTCAAAAAAAAAAAAAAGTTGTGTTCGGCGTTTTGCCGACTGGATACGGTAAAAGTTTTATATATCAACTGGCTCCGCTGGTGGGAAAACGCATGGGACTCAGCCGTCACCCGTCTCCTCCTTCGTTGCTCTGATTGGTTGTAGCGCTATCCAATTGCGTGTAGAGAGAATTTGAAAGACAACCATTTATCCCGCCCCTCGGATTGAGCCCTGTCAATGATGAGTTCCCAGACCTAGCATCTTGATGTAACATCTTGAAGTAGGTCTGGCATGCCAGGCTAGGGTTGGCATACTTGAGCACTTGAAAACAAAGAACATGTCTTTCTGCACTGAAAAAGTGCGAGACAAGCAGTGGAATGAAAAGAAACAAGAACATTTTTTAACTAGTGCTGTCAAATCGATAAATCACATCTAAATATATAATATACTCTGTATATATATACAAACTTTTATGTTAGATGCAATTAATCAATTTGACAGCACTAATTTTACCTTCAGCGTTGCAATTTAGAACTAATGTCCTGTGTGAGACGATGCAAACATTACGGTCAAAGACGTCAATCTACCACATGTTTACATAGAAAAACAATAGAAAAGCAGTCAGACAGAAAAAAGCAATGTCTTGGTTTTTAAAAGTTGAATTACTTTTGCATTGAGCGCTGCTTTTTTAGAAAACCTGTGTCGTGCGCAAGACGCTGCAAAATACGCGAGCGCAACGGTCAAACACTCCCATTTAGTGCACTTAAATAGAAAAACAGCATACAAAACCGTATAAAATAAGCTCAGGTCAAGCTCAGACATTTTAATAGTTATTAATTACTATATTATTATTTTAAAATTACATTATTACATTGTGTAAATAAGAGTAACTAAACCCTAAACCAACTTTTTTTAGTTAACGATCTGTAAGAATGGATCTTTATTAATACCAGTCATTGATTTGAGTAACTTTTTTGACATTTGTGTATAAAGTGTTTTATTTCTTAATATATGGTGTAAAAACGTCTTAGTGCTGCCCTCTTCTGGTTAAACGTTGGCTACTGCAGTTAAATTTTCCTATTTGATATTCCGCACTTCGTGACGTACGCAGGTTTCAGCTCACCACGCTCTTGGTACGAGCTACGCCCTTGGCAGTATAAAAACAAGCTTGTTCTCTGTCAAAACCACTGTAGCGAGTCAGGAGTTGGAATTGCGAGTATTGAAAACGATCAGGATAGAATTTTTTAGAAATCTATTTTGTCCCCTCTATCTCCGCTGGGGTCTGCCCACTTTTTCAGCATTTTTCAAATATTGCCAGTGGGCGGAGTCAGGTTTAGCTACCCTTTAACAGGATAGAAATGTGTGCAGAGCCAAATGGGTGGGGCCTGATCTTGTCCAGCTCCACCTCTGTGGATCAAAGGGGTGGAGCTTCATTTAATTAGGTTTGGGGATAGAGTTAAGGTGTGGTTGGATATCAAGTTCCGCCCATTGGCAGCCTCTTGAAGTAATAGCTAAGGTTTTTAAAAGTTAACCACTAAAGGTGTTAATTTAATCATTGTATTTTTGTCAAACAGGAAGAATGTTTTAGTTTGATACATCAGCTAATACCATCATGTGCCTGTGCTGTTTTACCTCACCCAATATTAGTGTCACTTCCTGGAGGATGATTGAATGTAGAATATACAGTACATGTAGAATGAATGAATCAGTGAAAGCATTCACTGTAAGGCACTTCATGTGTTGAAGTGGGAAAAAAAACACACACACAAAAAAGAGAAATTACACAGTAATCGGTAAGGATACTTTGGAATTGTTTGGATACTTTGGAATTGTTTGGCTAATTGTTAATTTTTAGCTAATTGTTTCACATTGTTGTTTTTGGACATGAGAAAACGACCTTGTGGTCACTGTGGCCGGATCTTTATCCCAACTCACTGAGTCACCCAGATAACAAGTTAAGCCAGATTGTAGATATCAGTTCATTGGTAAAGAAGACAGGGAAGTTTAGCAGCATCTGAGCTGTCTTTGTGTGTGCACATGCTGTCTTTGTAATGGCCTCATGGCAATGCTTTGTGTCCAGCTGCAGCAGGGTGTGTGTTTGTGTGTGTGTCAGAGGGGTGGATCCATGGCCGATCGCGGTCACCATCTGCCTGCCACTGACACCTTTGTTCCGAGTCGGGATCCCGGCCCTGACCTCACCCTCAGCCAATTCATCTGGCCATTTCTGCCCATGTGTTGTTCAAGCCAAGGTCTGAGCTGCCATTAGAGGATTTCACCGAGTAATCACAATTACAATGCCAAATTAGAATATAACACGCATACATGCATGCAACACATTTATATTATATCAACATGCACCAATGCTATACATTTTTCTAAATCTCATAATTATGTATTCATTACTTCAATTAGTTCATTGTTTCTGCCTTAAAATATTTAATTATTGTTTAAATTAATACATTTTTTATCTAACTGATTTTGTATAAGTACATTTTTTACATGCATAACTTCTGATAATAACATCACACTGAAGTCTAGTGTGGACTGCTTTTTCTGTAAAGCGCTATACAAATGTGAATTGAATGTAAATGTTTATAAAAGTATTTTTATTTTTAACACTTCTTAAAGTGGATATAATATACAAGTATCTCTTTTTTAGAACTGGATCGAATATATATATATATATATATATATATATAATATTATTATTTTAAAACACATCAGTAACTGACCAAAACAATATACATGTGATGAAAATGTAGGTTACCACACAATAGCTCCGGCTGCGCTTTGATCAGAAGAAAAGATTAAATCAGAACTTAATGCTCATGAATATTCAATGACCTCCTCCCCGTCATTGGCCACGCCCAGTCTGCGCAGGGTCTCTTTAAAGCGAACGGAAGTGCGGACTCCAGCAGCCCGACAGATTATAGGTGTTGTTCGGAGCGGTGCCTGTTACATGGGTTTTTCGACGTCAAGGTGTAAAGGTCTTTAAGAAAACCATCATATGCCGTTACTGTACCCTCGACCGTAAGCAGAGCGTGTTATTGGTGAATGTTAGTATGAATGGTAAGGTTGGGAATGGAGCAGCGGGCGGTGTGCTGGCCTGTATTGAGGGTCTGCCGCCTCTGCCCAAGAGCCTGAGCGGACTCCTGAACTCCAGCGGCGGCTCGTGGAGGGACATGGAGAGGATGTATGTGAAGAAGACCATGATTCAGGACGACCTGAGTCGAGGAAGGAATAACACGGACAGTCTTCTGGCGAATAAACCAGCTAACCTGGATGCCGCCCTGGCTTTGCTTAGAAAAGAGATGGTGAGTGTGTGCGGAATAAGCAACAGCTGTTCTCTTCTGACTGCAGGCGTTCATTTAACTTGTCAGTGCTTGTGAGTCTCTTCGAGACCGCTTGTTTTGGACATCATCATGGAGCGAACCGAACATTTTATGGAACGCCAGTGGTGTCAAAAGTTCGTTGAAATATTTGAACCCGCCTGTGGTTTTTAGTTTTGAATGTTCGGAACCAGTCTGTGATTGATGGCAGAAGAATGTTTTGAACGTAACCGTAATCCTCAAAAAATCCTTGACTTCGAAGATTCGAACACTCATTTCCATGTTCGATTCGAATGGTTGGATCGTACATTCAGATCTTACTTGTGATTCCCACAACTTATCGATGTACCGATGAAATTTTTTTTTAACTGCCCCAAAAATATTAGCTTCTAATGATAATAGAAAAAATAAATAAATAAATAAAATATATATATATATATATATATATATATATATATATATATATATATATATAACATTTGTGTTCGGCACAGAGACATTTATATTAAACAGCTGTGAAACATTCGAATTGAATTTGAATTAAACATTCAAATCATTATATAGACAGTGTATGTGTGTGTTTTGAACATCTTGTGATTCCCTGCTGTTTCATTTAAATGTTTCTGTGTTGAATACAAGTGTTCGGTTCTTAAAGTTACATATGCCCAAAAATCTTTGCTTCAAATATTTTGAACTCGATCTGTATGTCGCGATTACTCCTGAGGAAAAAATAACTTTGATTCGTATGTTTTTAACTTCCTTGTAATGCCCAAAACGTTCGATTCGAATGTTCAAAACTTGTCTGTGACACCCAAAAAATGTTTGCTTTGAACAAGACTGTAATGTTTTTTTTTAAAAAAATTGATGTTTAAAACTAAAAAACGTTTAGCCTGGCTAACACCAGACCCAATTCTCGTTGACACTTGGGTCTGGGAACCACATGTACATTTTCTCCTATTTGAGGCGTGGTTTACGAATGCCCGGCACCATTTATTGGGTGCTAAGAATGTCTATCAAATGCACCTGTACGTAGCTCATAGCCAATCGTTTCAATTATACCAGATGATCTATGTAGAGCGACAGAAATTAGACAAGGAAGAAGATGATGGATAAGATATTTTTGTGTAAACAAAAATATAAACATGAGGGTCGAAAGTATATATGGACACTCCACAGACATGTTTTTATCCAAAAAAAAAACACCAAGTTTATCCAAGAGGTTAGCATTATTAGGGGTGACAGTCGCTCCGGAGTCCTGCCATTGTTGCTCAAACCGAATTTCCAGGCTGGAAAGAGACTTGCCTACATTCAGGCAATGGGAAGAAGAGCTCCGAATCAGACAGCTACGTGAGCCTACACCATCGAAGACCCCGAGGGCTTTGAAAAAGACGCATAGATGTCGTCGTCTTGCTGCTCCCTCCCCGTTTTGTGATTGGTTCCCTAAATGAGAAAATCTGGACCATGGTATCCATACTGCCTTTCAGCGTGAATAAAATCGCGCTGCAGGAAGGCAGCATGGGGAAACCCAGACTAAAAAATGTTCAGTTCCAACATGACATCATGACTTTTGCGTAAACATACACGCCACTTTCGAGTCAAGTGGCGTGTTATCTCTACGCATTTTGAGCTATCCGCGTGTATGCGTATATGTCTACGGCATTAATGTCCGAGTGATTCCGTGTGTCAGTACACGCCGGCGCGAAACGAAGCAAAATGTAGATCTACATCTGGGGAGCGATCTTTTTTTTTTTTTCCTACGATGGTAGGGGAAGACTCATAAATGCCATTAACCCCAGTGACGGTTGGGTTTAGGGACGGGGTTGAGGTAAGTCATATATTTATATATAATAACGTTCAAAGTCAACGGCGTTCATAAACACGCTGAAAAGCGATTATGCGTCTTAATAGCGCGCCAAAAATTGAAATACGAATTGGCGTGTCATACACGCGCTACTTCATGAGATCAGTCTATCAGTTTGAATGTTTAAAATCCGCCTGTGATGAAGAAAGCTGTTCGTTTCCCATGTTCTGACCTTATGCTGACTAGAACCAAAACAGGTGACACAAGATTTGGAATGCAAGCTCAAAGTATACATTATATGGCATGGCTAAATACCACATGTAGATTTCAAAGTAAATGTTTGTTCTCATATGCAACGTGTTGTCCCTTTGACCTCGTACTCATTCCAGTGTGTGTTTGCGCAGGTGGGTTTGCGGCAGCAGGACATGTCCCTGCTCTGTCAGCTCTGGTCCCTTCACGAGTCCATCCAGGAGTACAAGGGCAGCTGCCAGGACCTCTCCGCCGTGTCCAGTGCCGACGGGCCGTACGGGATGGAGAACGGCTATTTCGACGAGGACGAGGAGTATTACGCTGAATCCGGTCTGACGCCAACCGAAACGCCAGATGGAAATGACACATCTCCTAAAAACGGGACATCCAAGGACAGCTGGATACATGACTCGTTCCATATCACAATATAAAAGGCTTGACTGTTGTTATTTAATTTTCTTCTTGTTGATGGAAAACAAGCTGTGCCATAATTTTGTTTGCTGGCGTTTAGTTTTACAGCAGACGTTCTAGATGAAATCTAAACGATTATTATTTATTGTATAATATACAACATAGTATTTTTTCGTTCTTCCTGATTTAATCCACGTCGGATGTTTTATAAGATCGTTTTTATAAGGGGAGAAGCATATCATTTCATAATGATGTTTACAGTAAATCAACTTCTGTTGGGGGATTTATAGCCGTCGGTTTGGCGCTTCACCCCTTCCGGATTTCGAAAAGTCTTATTTCTCGCTGAGCAGTCGCTCGCTGGGTGCTTACAGGAAACAGGGGTTTGTTTTTATCGAAAATATGAATTTTTAATAAAGTGCTACCTATTCTTCGCTGAAATGTAGTCCACGATATAACCAGCACTAAGAGCTTGTGACAGCGTCACCAAAACCAAACTCAAATCTTCCAGTTTGCTAGTGTATCGCGTAACTCGTTATGAACATACCTATATACTGTATAAGTCAATCAATAACCAGCTCCATAACATTTCCTTCCCAATTTCTGTAAACCTATGCTAGATCATGTCTTGTAGATGTTTTATTTATTTCCTTATGATTGCTGCTTGGATTCAGTCTTCCATTGGAGAATCATCGCATAAGTGTCATGTGACGTAAAGTACATGAGGTCACCTGTATTCGAAATGTGGTTTTAGCAAGTGCATATGGCCACCAATCCACCAAACTTTATCCATATTGTGAATGTTATCATAGCATGCCATAATGTAAGCATTTTCTTGATGTGTGTGTGAATCGAATGCCTGGAATTCAAAAAGTGCATCATTATGGATAATCTAATTATTAGAGCCTGACTGATAAAGGATTTTGAAGGCCGATACGATACAAATATTTGTTGGTTTTAAAATCCGATAAATCGGCCGATATTTGTATTATTTTTTTTTTTTTCAGAAACGCGCAACAAAACAACAGATTTCACTAACATTAGTTATTTCTAAGTTTTAACTAAAATAATATGATAATGCATTTTAAAAAGAAACTTTTTTCTTTTATTGTCGCAACAGAACAGAGGAACCAAAGCTCATTAATGTTAACGTTAGCGGTCTTCCACTGATGATAGCGGCATTAGCTAGCTTTGTGGTTAGCTAGTCTATGATGAGCCATAATTTCGCAATGGATAACGTCATACTGCAAATTTTAAAACATATGTTTTCAATATAACAGGCCAAGGAGAGATGATGCGTCTCATTGCTTTAACTGTCACGCGCTATTAAAGAAATACTTCAGTTACATTGTCAAAAGTTACAAAAACAGTCAGTCAACTACACTGTAACAATGTAACGTAACTATTACTAGCTAATTCCGCTTCACTCTCGGCTTATTTAACTGCAGCAAAACTGGACATGATAGTCACAAATTTTGTCATGTTAAAGAGAACTGATGGGGATGTTCTTTTAATTGTTATTCAAGCAATGTATGTCTCGTGACCAACTCAACGACTGTTGCCAACAGGGACGGCGTAGAGTGCCCACTGGTGGACAAACTATACAACTCCAACACTCATGACATGGTTCAAGCGTGTTTCGTCCGTTTTTATTTTATTTTTGAAATATTCATTTATCGGCCATTGTAACTGCCGATACCGATAGTTCGAAAAATGCCTAATATCGGCCGTTAATATCGTACTGGCTCTACTAATTATGACTGAGACGCTTCAGAGATGTTTCATCTATAAGAATATCAATATCAGCAGAGAGAATCTGTTCTACCTCTTGTGTGTTTGAGCTCTGAAATGTGTGTTTTTTCTTGCACCAGCAGACACAATCACGCTTTTTATAATTCCCAGCATTTCTGATTCAACTGTAACACTCTTCCATTTTATAACCTGCTTATTTGGCTCAATTCTGAGAGAGAGAGAAAAATCAAGGATCTTGTTATGCAACTACAAGGCTTTAGGTGCTTTGACCAAAAGCAGCACTGAACTTCACACATCGTGCCTTGACGCACCTCGGCTTTGAACCCGGGGTTATCATATAATTTCATATCTACATCCAGCATCTTCGTTTCAGTCCCTCTCATTAACGGCGGAACGTTCCCCCCTGAACACATCTCCTCATTATCTTCTACCCCGCGGTGATTTATTGCGGTGATCCTGCTCGGAAATTCCCACCTGGTTTTTTGTAATTTGCATAGTCGGTAAAAGTAAATGTTGTCCGCTTTGATCTCCGTGGTTTGTATTGACATGATTTCTGCGGTTGTTTTGTATACGTTATTCTGCTAGATGGCTTTTGTGTGTTTGACTTTGGTGTTTTTGGTCGGTCCATGTTCTCGAATGTGTTTTTCAAAGTTGTCAGATGTGTTTGAATTAATAATTGATACAGGAATTATACATTTTGTATGTTTTATTATGCGTGTTAGCTATATGAAATAAATATAATGTATTGTTCCTCTGTTTTTGTTGCTACTTTTCTGTCACTTTAGAATTATATATATATATATACCTCAATAAACATTTCAGACTGATTATTTTAGGTGTCTCGTTATTATATTTAATTTGCATCTTAAAGGGATATTCCCATTTTTTTTTTTTTTTTTTTTTTTGGAAATAGGCTCATTTTACCATTCCCCCATAGTTAAACAGTTGTGTTTTACTGTTTTCGAATGTATTCAGCCGATTTTCTGATATTCAGAAGAATATCCAACCTGATTTCATGGGAATTCATCTGAATTTTACGAGGTGGCTAATTCGTAACAATTCGTACGACCTCGCTCGAATCATACATATTTTACGAATTCGTATGAATTCGTACGAATGACCTACCCCTGACCCCGCCCCTAAACATAACCGTCAAGTGGGTGTAGACAAATAGAGTGAGGTCGTATGAATTAGTACAAATTAGCCACTTTTGAATCACTCGTACTAATTGGTTGTGAGATAGTGTAGGAATATCAGTAACCAGACAGTTTCTGGTCTCATTGACTTCCATAGTAGGAACAAAATATACTCTGGAAGTCAATGAGACCAGAAACTGTCTGGTTACTGATATTCTTCTAAATATCCAAAAAATCCGCTGAATACATTCGAAAACGGTAAAACACAACTGTTTAACTCTGGGGGAGTTGTAAAATTATAGCCTATTTCCCCAAAAAAAAAGTGGAGTATCCCTTTAATGCAGTTTGTATACAAATATCTTAACTTGTTTAATAATGGATCAGGCTGTTAAAAATTGCAGCTGATTTGCTCCAGTTTCATCCAACACTGGAAATGGAAAGTCAGACTTGTGCATTGCGTTGTTGTCTAGAGCATTTCACACATTAAATTATTTTATACTACTTTGTATGTGGGTCATTCATCTTGATGTATTTATCATATGGAGAAAATATGCATATTGTGCATTTACTTTGGTATATTATGTTTACTGTGCAGCACAGTATGCAAATTTTCTGTATGCGTATGATATCAGGTTGACCTATATGCATAAATGAATTGGATTATCGTCTCTAATGACGCAATGCACTCCATACAACCTTCAATATCCTGTTTTAATTTGATTTACCAGCCAAATGTCAAGGCATTTACACACAGATCTGGATAAAAATGCAAAGTTACCATTTTATTTAGAAGATTATAACTTGATTCCTCTTTCTGCATGCAACATAATAAATTTATGTACATGAATATTACTGTTTGAAATGTTTACGTGGTGGAAAAATGCTGGTTTCCCTTATTGGTCACAACTACTATTCCTCATTTAAATAATTCCTGCCTATAATTTATTTATTTATTTTTTATTTTTATAAAGCTGGCTGAAAGAAGAAAGTAATTCCTATGATTGCGCGAGGGTGTGTAAATTATGGGATAATTCGAATTTTTGGGTGATACAACAGACCGGGGGCCGGCTGACCAATCAGAGCTGACAAATCGTGCTTTCTGGAAGTCGGGTTTTAAAACATTCAGACAGAAGGTTAAAGGGATAGTTCACTTTGAAATGAATTTTTGGTATGTTTTATCTTACCACAAGGGCATCCAAGATGTGGTGTCTTTGTTTCCACAGTATTTTCAATTTTTATGTTTTTAGGTCAAACCGTTTTTGTCTGTCAGTCATATAATGCAGGTCTATGGTCACCACCTAAAAGAGCATGCACAGAGAAGTCCAAATTAAACATGATTTAATGACTCGTAAATGTCGTAAGACACGAAACGAGCGGTTTGTGTGAGAAAATGAACAGTATTTATATCGTTTTTACCTCTTGTAATCACAGCAATGTCCAAGTGATCTGAGGGCACGGGTGCGTTGTGGCTGTGATTACAAGAGGTAAAACGATATAAATACTGTTCGTTTTCTCACACAAACCGCTTGTTTCATGTCTTAGGCCATCAATGTGTACTTACATTTACGAATCATTAAATCATGTTTAATTTGGACTTCTCTGTGCATGCTCTTTGAGGTGGTGACCATAGACCTGCAATATATGTCTGATAGACAACAACGGTTTGACCTAATAATAAATTGAAAAATTGAAACTACTATACTAAATAAAGACACCTACATCTTGGATGCCCTTGAGGTAAGCAACATACCAAAAATTCATTTCAAAGTGAACTATCCCTTTAAAAGCAGGTGCTGCAACAATGTAAACTATAAGGAAAATAGAGTTTTCGACATTAAAGGATGTAAACCTATTCTAGTAGACACCCAAAACAAAATTATGAACATGTAATTGATCATAACAGGACCTCTTTAAAAACAAATAGGCAAGATCCTAAAAGATGCTATGTTATAAACATATAGGCAATAGCTATGTTGTAGTAGCTAGTAAGTTATTATAGTTATATCATATTGGCATATTACTAACAGGCAAAACACTGAGTTATTGCAGAAACAAACTGACAACGAGATTTAAAGTCACATCATGCCATATATTGAGGAGATGAAGAAGTCGTGAGTCATGATATGATATTCCACTGCTCAGGTCTAACTGTACTTTCTTGAACTTGATATCCAATACATTTAATAGTGTCAATACTGATACAATTACAGTGTTCAGCAAAAGGGAGGCTAGATGTTGGTCTTTATTGTTTCCATACGAAGGTGTTTTATTGCTGTGCGCTAAATCTCTAAATGGAAATCCACACCTGAGTTTGCCTAAGCACCTGTTCAGGAGATTGAGTCGGATTACTGTAATCTTTATTGAATGCGTCCGCGTCACGTTGGTCAGGGATTTTCCTGCTCAAAACGCAACAAGGGAAAGATGTGTTGCCCATGCACCAGAGACCGTGGTAGCCATACGTCCGATTTTAGCTTGAAAAAAATTAGACCTTTTAGAACTTTTAGAAATTTCTCTAAAGAAATCAAGGATTTAAAGTGATAGTTCACTCAAAAATTAAAGTTGCCTACTTCTGTCATGACTCACCCTCGTGTCGTTCCAAACTCATAAGACTTTCGTACAACTTCGAAATACAAATTATTTAATGAAACCTTACCTGAGAGAGTTTAAAGTCCATTCCACAAAAACTTTCAAGGATCATAAAGACATTGTAAAAGTAATCCATATGAATCAAACAGTTTAATCAGTCTTCTAGATAATCGGTTTATATGATAACCAGATTTAATTTAGGCTTTTTTTTTTCATGTGTAAACACATTGATCAACGCACGTACATAGAGCTCATTAAATATGGTAAACAGAAGCTCAAACGTGCGACCGTGACACCCGACGCAAGAATGAACCTCGCTGCTTTGTAATGACTGACTGTTAATTTTTGGGTGAAATATCCCTTTAATTTTAAATGACATTCAGGCCGCATAATGTTTTGATGTATAAACAGCAACATGAACATGGGCTCAACCAATGGTGTGAGTTTGAGGCTGGTCAATACGCTTGCTTGACTAATGGAATATGGGGATAGTGTTTGGAAAAACTGTTTGAGAACAATTTAGTGACATTAATTGTGCAGTACTTTATGTGAAATAAGTGTACACTTATAATTCATGTTGTTTGGTTTGTGGCCAGACATTTTTGACATTTGAATTCTAAAGGCCCGCTCACAATGTGAGCCTCTCACATTATTCAATACTGACAAGCATTTCTATACTCTTTGTGATTGTTCATAGAAAGTTTAAATGTGTTTTAAGTGCATCATATTCTTGTGGTTATCAGAACTGTGGTTATCACATCACAGGAACCAAACCCATGTGAGTTATTTAAATGATTTACAACTCATATCAAAATACCACAAGACCTAGAAAATACCAGCCCTGTAGGCTATTATTTAGCAGTTGGCCTCTAAATATACCATATAATATAAATACATTACATATAATAAATGTAAAATGTATTGACGATTATTCAAATAAATAAAGTAATTTAAGAATAGCAAGACTTTTTTTTAACATAATTTCATGTGTATTCTAGCATGACTGGAACATTTTATTGACCAATTATCATCCAGTAAAGGAACTATATGCATTAAAATTATATTTTATTATTATACATTATATTTTATATCAGTGGTATTGATTTTAAAGTCATATTTTAAGTTTTCTTACTTGTACTAACTACAAAAAATGATGTTGAATTTTGAAATGTACCCAGATAGTATCTGAAAAACACAACACAAGTATTCAAAGAATGACTGAAAGTAATTGACTTGAATTTCGAGAGGAACCCAAACTTGCATTCTCTTCTTATTTGATAACTTAATTTCAGGACTTCATCAGCGTGCCATCTGACTCCTAAACAATCCTGATCTGTGAAGCGGACACAGAGATCCTTCAGACCTGCACACTGTGCACAATCTACAGGTTTAAAAATATGCAGTTTGATCTGTCCATCTGTCTATCTGTCTATCTATCTATCTATCTATCTATCTATCTATCTATCTATCTATCTATCTATCTATCTATCTATCTATCTATCTATCTATCTGTCTATCTATCTATCTGTCACTCTGTCTATCTGCCTGCCTGTCTCTCTCTCTATCTATCTCTGTCTGTCTATCTATCTATCTGTCATCTGTCTATCTTTCGGTCTGTCTGTATATCTCTCTATCTATCGATCTGTTTGTCTATCTATCTATCTATCTATCTATCTATCTATCTATCTATCTATCTATCTATCTATCTATCTATCTATCTATCTATCCATCTATCTATCTATCTATCTATCTATCTATCTATCTATCTATCTATCTATCTATCTATCTATCTATCTATCTATCTATCTATCTATCTCTCTGTCTGTCTGTCTGTCTGTCTGTCTGTCCATCCATCAAATTCATTGTAATTATATTCTTAAATGCCACTGCATTATGTGTAATAAATGTTATAATATATATTTAGTTTATATATTATTTTTCGACTTACCCTATAATGCCCACAATCCCCCTCAGCACTGCCTCAGAAACACTAAACCGTTACAAAACATTAAGCACCGGGCGGTTTCACAAAGAAGTGCAAGATTTATTCCCTGAGTTTGTTCAAAACAAGTTGCACAAGTTCATACTGAAAAAGTCCACACTTCACATTTATGTAACAGAGATAGATTACACCATACACAAGTCCATACATAAACCGGCCATTATAAAACAGACATTCAGGTCATTACGGTATTTACGGTCTTCTCTCAGCACAGCTAATGGAGGCATTTGACAAATGACCTCAGGAATGTGAAGCTGTGCCTTTAAAGTCTTTATAAACATACAGGATTTCGTGAAAACGGCAGGCCTGCTCTTTTTCTGCCTATATAAGACTAGTTTCTGTGTATGAGGAGAACTCGAGTGAAAACAAGTTACCGCTCTTCAAAGAGGTTAGCTTAGTACATACCAGGCATATATGCATGTACAAACTCATAACCATGTGGTAACCATAGTAAAGATGAACAATTTGCTCTCGATGACCTCATTTAGTTTCACAACAAATTCCTTTCTACGAAAACATCTTAATCAAACAACATCTCTGAAGTAATGCCAAGCATCTGAGATTTAACAAGGTAAACAGCTTCATAAATCAAACTTTCTGTCTCGTTGACTCTTGAATCTTTCACAAAAAATGCTTTGGATCAATTCAGAGCATCCATTTATATTTAGACGGGACTGTTTGATACATGGGGTCAAAGGTTTGAGACAATCCTGACGGTGAAGTCCTCGTCTCCTTCCAGTCTAGAGCATTGACAGATAGTCTTGTGAACAGACTTGCAGTGTTTTTAAAGCCTGGGCGACCCACATCTCCAACAGCAAGCCTCCACACACCGCCAGGAGAGACAGACGCCGACTGCAGTTCAGAATCACTGGAACATGGAGAATGTATCTTAAAAAAAAATCTAGTTTATAACATGTGCTAGTAAATATGTAGTGTTAGCAGTGTCGGGGGTAACTCATTACAAGTAACTTCAGTTAAGTAATCAGATTACTTTTTTCATGTAACTAGTAAAGTAACGCATTACTTTTTCAATTTACAACAAATATTTACTTTTTCAAATAAGTAACGCAAGTTACTTTTTCACATTTATTGACTGACAGCTCTCCTGTCCTCATGTTGAGAGAAATAAAGTGAGGATGTGTTGTGTGTGTGCGCTGTGTAACCATGATGGCTATTTTAGTTCAAGACTAAATGTGCACACTTGCACGAAAACATTCCGTATTCCTCTAAATGTATAAAAACAGAAAATGTACGCAAAACTTTTATAATTAACTATTAAATTACACAAATATACTTCATATATTTAATCTCACTTTATTAACCAATGCCTCTGCTGCTGACCTTCAATGATCTAATAAGCAAAAATGACTTTAGATTACATTTAGAAATAAAAGTGTCGTTATTGTTCTTTAAAGGGATACTTCACCTCTGGAAAGATGAATGTGTATTTATAATGGGTCATTTATGTAAAAGAAATGTGAAATTATTTTTGAATTTGGAGCTTTCTAGACTGAGAAAAGCTATAAAGTGTATTTTTGGCTTATGTGGATGAAAGACAACAACTCCCAGAATGCACTTGCTTCGCTGCCCTAGGAGGCCACGCCTACCGGTAACAGAGCGCAGTCGTTAAACAACAATTCGGCATTTGGCATTTGCGTTCTACAGTCGCCATTCATTATGTTTACTGTGGCGAGCGGGACGAGTGAGGGCCGCGGGAGAACGGTGCGAGGCCGGTGGCGTGATTACCAATGAGCAACACCTGTGAGACGCACCAGTCTCGTATCTCTCACGGAGGAGCGGGAATTTTCTTAGCAATGTAAAAACACACAACAACCGATCACTTGTTTAGCTTTCATGTAAACACTACATTCAGATTCACCAATCAGAATGAATTCAGTTAGGTCATGTGTCCACCAAAGCGTTTTTCCACGCCCCTGGCGTATGTTTTCAATTGTTTTCAATGGGAGCGCCGCATTTTTTAAACGCCATGAGCGTGACGAGGCGCTGAGCGTTTTTTTTCACGAAATCTTTTCACGAATTTTTCTGCGAAATCAGTTACAAGTAAACTGTGCGGCGGATATTCTGTATCATAGCAACAAAACGTCTCAACGGAAAAAATGCTGCACTGCCAAAGCGCTCTCAAGCGCCCAAAGCATGACGTCTTCAGCAGAGCGTCTAGCGTTTTCAGAGTTTCCTACTACTCAGCTTTCTCCGCAGAACAAGAGCCTGCTAGCTTAGCTTCCAAAAAAAGATGGCTGACACTATGTGTTCATTCTGTGAGTGAGATCCCACCCTCTATGGGCAGGTTGAGAACATGCGGGACGGCCCCTACTACTGACTGTAGTCTTTAGCATCTGGCCAAAAAATCCTCTGATGACGCAAAATGACGATTTTTGCGTCATCGGGGGATTTTTTTCAGATAAAAAATACATAAATCTCTCGTCTCAGGAGGATATGAGGGTGGAAAATTTGAAAATACTACAGGTGTTCTACTAATACAAAGCTTAATGCTAAATCCTGTAGTATCCCTTTAATACAGACTGGCAGAAGCTGAGAGGATTGTTTGAGTTGCGCCCTCTACTGTACACACATAAGTATGCATTTCCTTCAGCCTGAGGCTTATTCATTTCCCTTTTGGTGTGAAAGGGGCTTAACATTTGCCAAAAATCGATTTTTTATTGTTGTTATTAAAAAACAAACAAGCAAGTCCAGCCCAGGAGAGAAAAAGTAATGTAACGCATTGCTTTTCAAAAAAAGTTAAGCTTACTTTTTTTGGGAGTAACGCAATAAAAGTAACACTGACTGTAAGTAAGTATTCATGTTCGTTTGATATGATACAAATGCTTGTTTAAATTTAGAACCAATACACGGATACTTTTGATATCCCTATAACAGTGTTGCTGAAACATCTTTCCAGACCACACGAACTTCTGGGAGTGACCTGTACCTCCAGGACCTTACGCAAACAATTGAACCCTTAGTGTGAGAGAGAGAGAGAAAGTATTTACTTTGGTTCTGTGAGTGTTATGCACACGTTTCGCTTTGCCTCAGGGTGTTTACATGAATGAAAGAGAGTGTAGGCTTATCTTATGCTGCCAGAGAGTGTGTTTAACTTGCATGTGTTCCATGAATATAGGTGTTTGTTGATCTTTACCTCTAATGGCTTGTGAATTGGAGGTCAGAACGAACAGTCGTATGAGGCCGAAGCAGAGCGGGGAGAAATCGTGCTCCCAGATGACAGCCGGGATCAACAGCACTTTGCCATAGCCGGACAGCAGAAGTGCCTTTAACAGCGGAGTTAAGTCAAAAGGAGCAGCGGAGAAGAGCCACGCAGTCCAGAGAACGACCAACACACCTGTGCAGAACACCGCCAACTCTAGAAACCAAACCAAGCACACGCTGTTAGGGTGCATCTCTGTATTAGTACATTATTTTCAACATAATTAAGCACATTATCCCCTCAAACAATATTCGAATTACTGTAATGCAATATTTTACATTGATGATTTACATTGATGACATTTGGACCTTGGTCCCCATTGACGTCCATTATATGGAGAAAATCCATATATTTATCCATATTTTGTTTTCAACAAAAATTACAAGTAATTTATTAGCAAATGTTTTTATTTTAAACTGCTCATTTAAAGCCTGTGTGTGTGTGTATGTATATATATATATCAAGACATTTTTGTCTTGGTTAATGTCAAGACAAAAGACATTTTAAACAATGTCAACTTTGCATTAAAAGTGTCATAATTTACCAGATGACATTTAATGACAACAGTCATAAACATTCATAAAGAATGATCCGAATGATCTAATCTGAATTTATTAAATACAACATGCAGTGCTTTATAAAAAATCATTTTGAGTTAATTTTCACTTGAGCTGCTGAACTTTGAACTTTCTGTTAATCAAGAAATGTTTTCTGGAGTAATGATGTTGAAAATTCAGCTTTGCATCACAGGGATAAATTACATTTTAAAATATATCACAATAGCAAACAGTTATTTTAAATTGAAACAATATTTCACAATATTACTGTTTTTTTCTGCATTCTTGATTAAATAAATGCAGCCTTTGTAAGCATTGGCTATAAACCCCTAAATACTGTATTTCATAACACCTTCAAAATATGCATAACTTGTACACTACTTTGTGTTACCCAACAACTCAATTAGTGCATCTAAATATTTCCATCCAATTAGTCAGTACAAAACACAATGATTTACCCAGTGCAGCCAGTGAAAACATGCAATAAAACTCCCATTCTTTGGTGTAACGAATGATGTCAGCGGGGTCATTGCTGTGCTGGGACCCCTGCTGGAGGGACCAGCGCAGATACGCCTCACACAGCAGACAGAACACACACAGTTTCCAGTGGATCTAGAGAGAGAGACTGTGTTTACAATGGAATACTATGCTATTTGTGTAATATACCCTGATAGCACACATCACAGACACGTCTATTTGATGTGTGTTTACATTTGGAAGACGCGTTTTTTAGAGTGTTTGCTCATCTGGAATACGTCTACACGTCTATACGACGTTTCCTGTCAGATGTCAAATAGATGTTTAGAAGATGTCTTTAAGATGTAATGATTTAGAATGCATGTTAAACTGATATCTTAAACGTCTATTTGACATCTGACAGGAAACGTCCTATAGACGTATTCCAGATGAGCAAACACTTTTAAAGGGTTAGTTCACCCAAAAATGAAAATTAAGTCATTAATTACTCACCCCCATGCTGTACCAACCCCGTAAGACCTTCGTTCGTCTTCGGAACACAAATGAAGATATTTTTGATTAAATTTGAGAGCTGTATAACTACCACATTGGCTCCTAAGGGACTGCCTCTTGACGGCCCAGAAAGTCAATGAAGAAAATGTTTAAATATCCCAAGTGACTACCGTGGCTCAACTATATGTTTATCAAGCGACGCGAATACTTTTTGTGCGAAAAAACAAACAAAAATAACGAGTTTATTCGACTATTTTTTTTCATCCTTGTAGGCCAGAAACGAGATTTCCTTAGATTTCCACGACGCATGCGCGAGAATTGCGATCTGAAGTAGTGTAAGCTGGTGTAAGCAGATAGCAATTCTCGCGCATGCGTCGTGGAAATCTAAGGAAATCTCGTTTCTGGCCTACAAGGAAGAAAAGAAATAGTCGAATAAACTCGTTATTTTTGTTTGTTTTTTCGCACAAAAAGTATTCGCGTCGCTTGATAAACATATAGTTGAGCCACGGTAGTCACTTGGGATATTTAAACATTTTCTTCATTGACTTTCTGGGCCGTCAAGAGGCAGTCCCTTAGGAGCCAATGTGGTAGTTATACAGCTCTCAAATTTAATCAAAAATATCTTCATTTGTGTTCCGAAGACGAACGAAGGTCTTACGGGGTTGGTACAGCATGGGGGTGAGTAATTAATGACTTAATTTTCATTTTTGGGTGAACTAACCCTTTAAAAATACGTCTTTCAGATGTAAACATAACATCAAATAGACTTGTGCTATCTGGTAAGAGTTTTTGCTCATCTGCCATACGTCTATAGGACGTTTCCTGTCAGATGTCAAATAGACGTTTAGAAGATGTCTTTAAGATGTAATGATTTAGAATGCATGTTAAACTGATATCTTAAACGTCTATTTGACATCTGACAGAAAACCTCCTAAAGGCGTATTCCAGATGAGCAAACACTCTTAAAAATACGTCTTCCAGATGTAAACATTACATCAAATAGACTTGTGCTATCTGGGATGGCTGTAGTCAGTCTCTTTATACCAATTGTGGAACAATTGGTAGAAAGCACAGATACATCTGTAAGATGTCTGCTAAAGATCTGTTAATCTGCAAAACAGCTGCTGTGTAAAAGCACCGGAAACATCTAAAATAACGTCCTAGAAAGCAGTTTTACACACATTCTAAACCGTAAACATCTTAAAGACATCTTCTAAATGTCTATATGACATCTAACAGGAAACGTCCTAGAGACATATTGCAGTCAGATGAGCAAACAGCACTAAAAAATACATCTTGCAGACATAAATGCAGACATCAAATCGATGTCTCAGAGATTTACTTGTGCTATTAGGGTAACTTTCTGTAAAGTAGAAATACGTTTTACTCACATTGATCTCAGTGTTGAAAAGTATATGTCTGAAAGCCTGGATTTTGCATAGAGTGGCATCTATCAGAATAATAACTGGATCATATTCTATGTATTTGTCAACCGGCTTCTTGCATGAACTCTGCAAAGGGAGGGAAAACTGTTTTAATTTACAAAAACATTTCTACAGATATTAATGGCAATATTAGACAAAACATCAATTTCTTAATTTTATTATGTATTTTTAAGGCATTAAATAGCCTATGTATTTATGAGATGTGGAAGATGGACAGCATCAGATAATTTAGCATTTTTAATTTATTTGAATTCTTTAAAAGTACCGTAACGTTAGTAGGACGTGTTTAACAGATGGGGATTTCAGACAAGAAAAATATAAATACAGGAATAAATGTAAATGAAGTAAAATATCAGATATCAGCGTGCTTCCATCTATGCATTAAGTTACAGTAGGCCGCCCTAAACTGTGAGAATGCTAACCTCAACAGACCAGATAACACCGGACTAAACTAGAAATGATGTACTCACACATCTAGTGAGCTTTAGTATGCCATGGCTGTAGTCTCGATACAGTTCGGTTGCATCTTCGTTGCACTCGACACATTTGAACAGTCCCGATGCCATTCTCCATATGACAGCACGAAAACACGCCTACTGCTTCCTGATCCTCCATTAGAGGCGGGGCTTATAGCGACGCTGACGGGAAATGTAGTTTTTTTTCAACACACTCACCAACTGCCGGAAGTGGGGATTTAGTTCCACGCAACTACATTACCCACACTACTACACCGTTTCTCACCTGCTCATAACATTATTACTCACAACATGGCACCTGCTGGCGGGGGTGTTGTGCTGGCGGCTCTGTCGCTGCTGTACTTATGCGGAGCTATTTTATCGAGCGAGTATCTCTCCACCTTGACTTTCTTCAACAGCGACCTTCACAAGCACGGCTGTAGCTCTCCAGCCGAGTGGGAGGAGTATGCGGCGGACTGCGGTGAGCTTCTGCCACGTCCTGCTCTTTCTGATGCATATTCAATGTAGTGATTCACTCTCTTGCGCTTACAGTGACACTAGCCTTACGGGATCATACATGCAGACACACGCAATAACTCCATAAATGCTAGTATAAACTCAAATAATCCATCCTAAACTCATGCATATCCTTCTCAATGCTATATAAACAGGCTGCAGGGAAACTTTAATTGGGTGTCAATGAGTTCATGGTCGCTTTCAACAGATGTAACGTAACTTAGCCTGGCATTAACTTACCGTGTTGGTGTTTCGGAAATTATACTATGGTAATATCATGGTATTCTAACGTGTAACTGACAAGTAGGAATATGTAAATCCTGTGGTTTTTGAAGATTAATCATTTGGTATCATGGCTTAAATTTGGGACACAAATTGTCCACTATTTTCAGTTGTAACAATAACTGTAGGAAGTAACTGTGTTGAGACTTGGGATTGTTTTAGGTTTTGTTTTGATCCAAAGGAATCCTAAGTAATCCATCATGAACCTAATGTACTCACTTCAGTTTGCCTAGAGACTAATAGGCCTGGTCCTTATATTATTTTGTGTCTGAAATCATAATACACCTGAAACTATTCTACTACACTAATTTGTAGTATGGGTAGTGCATAGTATGTATGTTCATACTGAACATTTCAAACTTTAAATCCCTGGATGATGCACAATCCTGAGTACTCCAACTAAAACTAATTAACTTAAACAAATTAACCGGGAAAAATAATAATGTTGTGTCAGAGAAATAGAATACTTCCTCACTATTTAGTATGTGAAAAACAGTATGCCAGTCTGTACAAATACATAATATAATATTTGAAAAACGGTAGGTGAAAAGTCCCTGGATTACTTACTACTTCCGGCGAGATTCTGAAATTTGCATTAGATGGACACTTTACTGTCCCATGAGGCCACGCAACTGACGCTGGTAGGTCACATGACAGTAACAACATGGCGGCTCTAGTACGTCATACTACATACTACTTGTATTCATACTTTTTTAACGTTGGCAAAGTACATTCAAATGTAGTACTCAAACAGTATGCGATTTTGGATGCAGCAAATGCATCAAGTGGAAATACTCTTCAAATTAAAAGTCCTACAACACAAAACCACGTGACAGTAACTATGGTAACAACATAGAGGATGGAGTACGTATAGAATATACTTTTTAATGGTCACAAAGTAAATTCAAATATAGTACCTACTCAGACAGTATGCGATTTCGGAGTCGCACACTTCATGCATTCGACTGTTCCTCGTGTAGCGGAGGGGGAGGGGCTATCAAACTCTGATGTTGAATGACAAAAAAAAATTAAATTCATACTCTTCACACTAACAGTTGAGTACATGATGCATAGTATATAGTTTGTCATTTGAGACACATACATTAACCTTTTTATTTTATGTTTTGTTCCCTCAGAGTCATCGATTCTGCAGTTGGAGGATCCAGACTGTGAAGAGGGGAGCAACCCGCCATGCGAGTCCATCTTTTCACTCAATGCAGAGAAAATCCTTGTGAGTTGAATTCTTTTGTATATCACCGTGTTAAGTTAAACTATTAGTTCAGTAACTTCAGTCCAAAACGAAAATTCTGTCATTATTTATTTACTTGTGTCGTTTCAAACTTTAGCTGCCGAGCCGCTGCACGGATCTGGATAAATTAATGGGATAGTTCACTTTAAAATACATTTTTGGTATGTTTTAACTTACCTCAAGGGCATCCAAGATGTTTCCAGAGTAGTTTCAATTTAGATATTTTTAGGTCAAACCGTTCTTTTCTGTCAGTCATATAATGGAGGTCTATGGTCACCACCTCAAAGAGCATGCACAGAGAAGTCCAAATTAAACATGATTTAATGATTCGTAAATGTAAGTACACATTGATGGCCTAAGACATGAAACAAGCGGTTTGTGTGAGAAAACGAACAGTATTTATATCGTTTTACCTCTTGTAATCACAGCCACAACGCACCCGTGCCCTCAGATCACTTGGACATTGCTGTGATTACAAGAGGTAAAAACGATATAAATACTGTTCATTTTCTCACACAAACCGCTCGTTTCGTGTCTTACGACATTTACGAGTCATTAAATCATGTTTAATTTGGACTTCTCTGTGCATGCTCTTTGAGGTGGTGACCATAGACCTCCATTATATGACTGACAGACAAGAACGGTTTGACCTAAAAATTTCAAAATTGAAAATACTACGGAAACAAAGACACCTACATCTTAGATGCCCTTGAGGTAAGCTAAAACATATCAAAAATTAATTTCAAAATGAACTATCCCTTTAAGGATTTATAGGAATTTAGGATTTTTTGGTTTCAAAAATCACAATACTCCCATGATTCTGAACAGACATACTAAACAAAATAAAATGTAATTTACCAAAGGTTTTGACTAATGTTAATTGCTGGAGTCTATTTAAAATGGTTTTATAAAATAAATAAAAAATGGTTTGATTCAATGACTCACTCATTAATACTTAATTGCTTCATTACTGGATGAATCTACATTTTTTTTTGAAAGTATCTCTTGAGTGAATGATTCACCGACTTGACTTTGATTACTTCTGTGGAAATCAGTGTTTATATCTGAACTATACACTTTCATCCCTGTTCATTCAAAATATTTGTAACACAGAAATTACGAGACTGTGTTGTAGAAAAGAAAACACAGTTGTACAAACTGTGTTGTACATGTGTGTGTATATATATATATATAACAACAAAACACAAAAAAATGTGCTTTTCCCAAAAAATGTTCCAGTCCCCATTCAATGTAAATGTGTGAAAAGGACCCACTGGTATATTAATAAAATGTTTCCTTTTCCTCCCCTTATAGAAAAAAAGAGAAGAAAGTCATGTTGAAACTATGTGAGGGCGAGTAAATGATGACAGAATTCTCATTTTTAGATGAACTATTCTTTCAACATCTGCTCTTTGAAAATGTAGACACATGTCATGAAGATTGTCGAGCCAAAACCAAAACACTTCCTCTTCAGCTCAAAAACATCCTCTGAGTCTGTAACTATAGATTATGTATCTCTTGGTATTGTTTTGTAACCACTGGTGGGTTTGGATTGATTGCAAGAGGTTGACAGACTTCCTGACGTGTTTTTCTTTCTTTCTCTCTGTCTGTCACCACAGAATCAGGCAAAGTTGTTTGTCGAGCAGCGTCGGTTTCCTTTCGCTGTGGAAAACCAAAATACCAATGAAGAACTTGGTGTGTGTCAAATACTGTATTGATTTTGGACAATGTGTCGTTTGCATGTTATTTATGTGATGTGAACCTCTAACGCTCTTGTGTTTTTATTTCAGCTATAGGCTACGTTCTTATTGGAAATGGCCTCTATGATGAAGCTATCAAACACTTCTCCTTACTGCTGCAGGTCAGATTCCACAAGTTGTACGTAAGCAATAAGGTACGAGAGTATAGTAATAAGTAACGGCTGAAGGGCGTTGTTAGGCACGACGCGAAGCGGAGTAACCCCTCCAGCCGTTACTTATTACTATACAGCACTTGCCTCAAGTACCTTATTGCTTTCATAAAACGGTTACCACACAATAAAAATATTAAAGTTAAAAAAAATGTATTAGTGCAACTTTCATGAAGTAAAATCACTAAAAGCCTAAACTTCCGCTAGAAAAAATAGTCCCTGACCGTGAACCGCAACAACGTTCCAATGTGTAATATGCATGAAAGCTCAAATAAAGACAACATAGGAACCGCAGTGTTGCGCAGTGATAAATAGAGCTGTTGGGTGAAGCGGTCATAGCCGTGTTTTATCATGAATAAAGCACAGCTATTGACCAGTCAGAATCAATGATTGAAACTAACTGTTTTATAAGTATTGTTTTTCTTGTTTAAAGGGATAGTTCACTTTGAAATTAACTTTTGGTATGTTTTAGCTTACCTCAAGGGCATCTAAGATGTAGGTGTCTTTGTTTCCACAGTAGCTAATGTGCTACTTAGTAGTAGTAATTTTGACATTTTTAGGTCAAACCGTTCTTGTCTATCAGTCATATAATGGAGGTCTATGGTCACCACCTCAAAGAGCATGCACAGAGAAGTCCAAATGAAACATGATTTAATGACTCATAAATGTAAGTACACATTGATGGCCTAAGACACGAAACGAGCGGTTTGTGTGAGAAAACGAACAGTATTTATATCGTTTTCACCTCTTGTAACCACAGCAAGAGTAACAAGATGTTACTCTTGATATACAAAAAATGATATCCCAGCTCACAGCTGAATGTGAGAAACAGAAACATTCTTTCCCCTGGTTTTACAGACAAAGCTTAAGTCCCAGATTAAAATGCATGTTGAGCTGTTTTAACTGAAAGAAACTTGCACTGACATAAATATGTCAGGATCATTGTTTTGTTTTCTAAAGCCTGTCATAAAAGCCGCTTAAATGTCCTTAATCCTGGCTTAATCTAAGCCCTGTCTGTGAAACCAGGCCTCTAACTAAGGTCGAGATGTAGTAGTTAACAAGGCGAATATTGTGCTGTGATAATGGACATGTATTGTAAGTATTTTTTACAAAAGGACTGTCCTCTGTAACCTCAGGGAGATCCTGAACTGGTCAGTGCCATCTATGGAAGGGGAATAGCATACGGCAAAAAGAGTCTGCAGGCAAGTCATTGTTTTAAACTACAGCTCAAAAGTTTGTTCTTTTAATGTTTCTGTTATATTATTACTATTTTTTTGCTGTGTTTTCAG